GAAACAAACAGGGCTGGATATGTAGCATAGTAATACAGTACTTGCCTAGCATATTTGAGACCCTGGGTTCCTTCTCTGGCACTGCAAAATAATAATAAACAAACAAACAAAATAAAATGAGTTAAAATTTGAAAATCCCTGTATATATTTTAAAAAGAGATTTTCTATTTACAAACCTCCCCAAAAGAAAAACTCCTGGACCACAAGGTTTTCAGTGTTGCATTTTACCAAATATTTAAGGAAAAAAAAATACCTGTTCTAAGCAAATTCTTCCCGAAAATTCTATAGGGGGCTGTTATCGTTTGCATCTAGAAAATAACCTCTGAAAAGCTCATGTTTTGACACCATGACACTCAACCCAGGAAGTTTCAGAAGTGGGGCTTTTAGGCAGAGTTGTGATCTCATTAGTGGATTAATACATTTGATCGATTAATAATTTGAAAGGAATATTGGGTTGGAGATGTATTCAAGTGGGGCATACCTGGAGGAAGTAGGTTTGGGGGGACATGTCCTTGGAATTATATTTTGTCCCTGGCTCCTCCCCCACCTGCTTACAGGCTATCATGAGCTGAGCAGTTTCTGTCAGCCACACCTTTACACTATGATGTTCTGCCTCACCTTGGGCCCAGAACAATGGAGTCCACGGTTATGGATTGAGACCTCTGAAACCTTGAGCCCCAAATTAACATTTACTCCTTTAAGTTGTTCTTATCAGGTATTTTGGTCACAGTAATCAAAAGGAAAACTAATCTTTAAATAGACTGTAGATAATTGATTTCCTAGGGATAGAGTGGGGAATGGGTAAGGAAGAGGGATTTTTTTTTGTTTGTGGTACTGGGGATGGAATCTTTATCACTGAGCTACACCCCCAGCGCTTTTTATTTTCTATTTTGAGACAGAGTATCTCTGAGTTTCCCAGTCTGACCTCAAGCTTGTAATCCTCTTGCCCCAACCACCTGAGTCACTGGGATTACAGGAGAGTGCTACCGAGATTGGCATAAAGGGATTATATTTAATGCATTTTATTGTATCTCTGATCATATTTCCATAAAGGTGGACTGTTGTAGAAACTGATAAACCAGTTCTAAAATTCTTAATCAAGATAGCATGGCACTGGCACTTGGAGATTCAATGGAATCAAATAAGTCCAGAAATAGTTCAATTGGTTTTCAACAAAAGTGCAAGGAAAATGCAGTGGGTGTTAATCTTTTCAATAAATAGTCCTGGAACTAAAAATTAAAAAATGAATGCTGATCTAGACCTTGAGATATCTAAAAAGTAAATTCAATCATAAAACTAAGCATGAAAGTTAAACATGGAGATTCTAGGAGACAAAAGCATAGGAGAAAGTCTATAAAATCTTGAGTTTGGGGAAAATTTCTTAGATATGACACTAAAAGTATGATTCATAAAAGAAAATGATAAATTAGATTTCATCAAAATTAAGACTTTCTGAGGCTGGGGCTGTAGCACAGTGGCAGAGCACTTGCCTAGCATGTGTGAGGCACTGGGTTGGATCTTTAGCACCATATAGAAATAAATAAAATAAAGGCATTCTGTCCATTTACAAATATAATTTTTTTTTAAAAAAATTAAGACTTTCTGTGTTGGGAATATAGCTCCATGGTAGAGTGATTGCCTAGCATGTAGAAGGTTCTGGTTTGATAAACAGCACTGCAAGAAAGAAAAATGTGTTCCTGAAATGGTGGCTCACACCTGTAATCATGACTGCTCAGGAGGCTGTAGGAGAAGGATCACAAGTTTAAGATCAGCCTCAGCAATTTAATGACACCCTGTCTCAAAAAAGGGGGGTGGGGTGGGGATGGGGATGCAGCTCAGTGTTAAAGCACCCCTGGGTTTAATCTCCAGTACCAATCACAAAAAATTAAATAAATATTAACTATGTTTTACCCACCTATTTCAAACTATTACATATTTACTCAAGAGGAAAGAAAATTTGTCTATACAAATATCTGTATATAATATTCTAATAAGCTTTATTTGTAGTAATAGCCAAAATATGAAAACAAAATAGTCATTAACAACTTTTTAATAAAAAACAAATTGTAACATATCCATATAGTGAAAAGAAAGTAAGAAGGAGAGGAAGGAGGGAAAGAAGGAGGTAAAAATGAAGAGAGGATGGGAAGAAGGAAAAAGGATTGAAAGAGAAAAGGAATACGAAGGAAAGAAAGAGCAAAAGAATTAAAAAAAAATTCCTTAAGTTTTCTTATGAATGCCTAAGATTTATGAAATACTATGCTTATTTAAGGTGTGTACTGAAAACCATACTACTTCCCATACAAAATGCAGGTACCTCTGGGGTTTGAATACCACTTAGAGCAAGGAACACAAAAGGCAGCAATAGACCAGAGACAGAAATTTCTGTGCAGAACATGGTGGCGCACACCTGTAATCCAAACAGCTCAGGAGGCAGAGGCAGGAGGATGGTGAGTTCAAAGCCAGACTCAGCAAATTAGTGAGGCCCTAAGCAACTCAGCAAGACCCTGTATCTAAATAAAATATAAAAAAGGGGTGGGTATGTTGCTCAGTGGTCAAACACCCCTAGGTTCAATCCCCAGTAACAAAAAAAAAAAATTAAAAATTAAAAAAAACCCCAAACCAACCAACCAAACACAAAAAACAAGCATAGCCAGGTGTGGTATCGCATGCCTGTAATCCCAGTGGCTTGGGAGGCTGAGGCAGGAGGATTGAAAGTTCAAAAGCCAGCCTCAGCACCTCAGTGAGACCCTAAATAACTCAGGGAGACCCTCTCTCTAAATACAAAAAAAGGCTGCAGAAGTGACTCAGTGGTTAAGCACCTGGGTTTCAATCTCTGGTACAAAAAATAAACAAACAAACAAACAAATAAATAAGAAAAGAAATTCCTAAGAAGCAGCCTATTACTTTCACTTTCTAAACCTGTCCCGGTCTCTCGGTAGACCTATCTTCCTGCACCATAAATTATAGCTTCCTGCTATACTCATTTTTCACATGTGACTTTGAATTCATATTGTTGAGATTTTTCACCTTCAATATGAAGTTGGAGTTGATAGCATAGTTTTACAGAACACAAAACAACACCATTACTTCCTAATAAATAGCAGTAGATGAATGTTTCCAAACCATCACTTTCAGAGTTGATAAAGTGGTAGTACTTTGTGCAGGGATATATCATGCAGTTTACTTCATAAAGAAAGTTTCTAAACTTGGACCAAGACAGAGTCCACAACTCAATGTGCCTTTCTTTCATGTTATATTTTATGTCATTTCTATTCATGGATGTCCTCATCTATAAAGTGGGTTTAATATGAACACCAACTTCCTAAGGTTATTTTTCCATATTAAATAAGTTTAGTGTATGCATAAACATTAAAATAATACTTAATGCACATAAGTATAACATGATTTTTTAACGTAGATTTCCATGCTTTGTAATGTTTAAAGGCAACTTACAGTCAATAATGTTAATCCCAGGTATATTACATTCATCCACTAAAATGAATATTTTAAAAGAATTAAGGTGTAAATAATGCCTGGAGGGAAACTACTACTTTTAAAGGCATTCACATAGCTACTTCCAAATTTGTTAATTTCCTAGAATTTTTAACTTTAGAGACTTTACCCTCTATTTTTTACATTTTTGTTCAGTGGCCTCTGGTATTGCAAAAATGTTGCTCAACAACCTGTGTAAATGCCTTCCAATTTTAAAGTACAATAAAGATTTTCTTTTTCCACTTTTGAAATAACCAGTTTGATTTTAAAGTATTTTGCTTGGGAAAGATCAGAAAAATGTTAATAGTCTTGCTGCTGCAAGCAGGACTATCTGGTATGTGATCATAACCCTGATCATAATTGTAATCAGAATGAAACAGGCACTGATTATATGCCAGACACTGTTGGAAGCCCTTAACAAGCACCATTCATTTTAATCCCTACAACAATTTAGGAGCATGCACTACTGCTGTGCCCAACTGACAAATGAGGGAACACAGGATCTCAGGTTAATTAACTCAACAAGGAAGAGACAGTGAAGCAGTGAGGAAAACAGAATTCAAACCTAAGAATTCTGATTCTAGAGCTAATACCTATGAGATTTTGAAAAGCACAAAATTGGTTTGGGTTTTTGTTTTTATTTATTTATTTATTTTTGTTACTGGGGATTGAACCTAAGGATGCTTAACCACTGAGCCACATACCCACCCCTTTTTTTATATTTTATTTAGATACAGGGTCTTGCTGAGTTGCTTAGGGCCTCACTAATTTGCTGAGATTGGCTTTTCACTTTCAACATCTGTAAAATGTTGGGAATAAATGAAGGCCTTCCAACACTGGGAAGTTGTAAAACTTGCATTAAAATTGCACAAAGTGATAGCTCAGTGGTAAAGCACTTGCCTAGCATTTGTGAGATCCTGGACCCAATTTATAACACTGCAGCAAAAAATAATATACTTATTATATTTGCCATTGACTATTTGTAGAATTATTCAAGCAAAAGATCTACAACAGCAAGAACTGTTAAAATATGTATTCTCAAAATTTTCTTCAGTTCCAAAGATTTTTAGTAGCACACCCAATAGGTTTTCATTTTCATTTCTGAATTTGATTTTTTTAAATTTTACTCCATTACTACATATTACAGATCCTATTTTGTACTTTCCTGAGTTATGAAAGGCCTGATTATATACATAGTGTTATCATCAGATATTGGGGAAACACCTGAGGAGGTGGCATATTTTCCAAGAAGTAAGGGCATTTGGTAGTAGATTCTGGGAAGATGGTGACAGTGGTGACTATACAGCTTTTAAGTATCTCCAAACACCCACATATAAACGGAGCAGTAAAGCACAGAAGCAAAATTCATGGGTAATGTTTTCATCAAAGCTAGTTTAACAAGGTATCACCGAAAACTTCCAAATTCAAGTAGATAAGGACAAACCACCAACAGTCACATTACCTACATGATATGAGTACCTATGTAGAAGGAAAAAGAAGTACAGTCAACCCTCCTCATCCATAGGCTCTGCACCTGCAAATTCAACCAACTGAAAATCAAAAACAATTAGGAAAGGGCTGGGAATGTGGCTCAGTGGTAGAGCACTTACCTACCATGCATGAGGCCCTACGTTCACTCCCCCAAAAAATGATTGAGAAAAAGCCCTGTATCTATACAGATAGAGACTATTTCTTGTAATTATTCCCTAACAATATAGTATGACACCTATTTTCAAAGCATTCATATTGAATTAGGTATTATAGTAAACTAGAGAGGATCTAAAGTGTATGGGAGGGCATGTTTAGGTTATATGCAAACACTGCTCCCTTTTTTTGGTGAAGGGGTCTCTTTCTTTGCATAGGCTGGTCCTGAATTCCTGGGCTCAAGCCAACCTTCTGCCTCAGCACCCCCCAAGGAGCTAGGATTAGAGGCTCAAACTATTGCACCCCACTACTATCCAGTTTTCTGTAAAGGAGTTTAGCATCCACAGATTTGATATCTCTGTGTGTTCCTGGAATCAATCCCCTTCAGATACCAAGGGGTGACTATACTAGCACAGTGTCTGGTTAACTGGATAACATAAGAACTGCAAACAACCTAACTCATTGGAAAAAGCAGTGAAAACTGGGAGGGTTTCATCCCTTTTCAATTCCAAGTGAGTTCAAAGGGCCCAGCTCAAGAGGCATTGGAACACTATAACCCTGGGTAAATACCTCGGGGCACTATTCAGAGAGAAGCCTGCAATTATGAAAACAAGCTGGAGGTAGATTCACAATTCAATTGGAAATAAGCAAGAGACTAAGGAAATGAGAATGTCCCATTCTATACTGTCTACTTATGTGAGTATCAAGCACTTGAAATGTGATCAATCAGAATTAAAATGTGTTGTAAAACATACCAAATTTTGAAGACTTAGTAGGAAAAACTATAAAATAACTCATTAAGTTCTATAGAGATCACATACTAAACTAATATTTTGGATAAATAAATGATTAAAATTAATATAACTTGTTTCTTCATTATTCATTTACTTGACTACTTACTTATTTTTAGTACTGGGAATTGAACCCAGAGGTGCTTTCCTGCTGAGCTACTTCCCCAATCCTTTGTTTTTATTTTTTTTTTAATTTTGAGACAGGCTCTCACCAAGTTGCTGAATCTGGCCTCAAGTTTGTCATCCTCCTCCCAAGATCACAAACAGGCACCACCATACCTGACTAGTTTTTTCTATATTTTACATTTTGGCTACTAGAAAATTGTAAATTGTATGTGTTGGCAGCCTTATATTTCCATAAGACAGCATTCCATATTACTGTTAAGTGGATATGTGGACAAGTCAATCAGGCAGCAGGAGTAGAAGGGAATAGATGTAAGTGGATGTACAATATTTAGATTAATCAGTTTAAAGTGGGGCACACCAGTAATTCCAGAAACTCAGTTAGCTGAGGCAAGAGGACCACAAGTTCAAGGCCAGCCTCAGCAACTTAGTGAGACCTTGTCTCAAAATAAAAAGTAAAAAAGACTGGGAATGTGGTTCAGTGGTTAAGCACACTTGGGTTCAATCTCTGGTATCCCCCAACTCCCCCCAAAACATTTAAAAATGTGAAACTAGATGGAATTTCTTAGGAAGTAAATTTATATAAGGAAAAAATCCAAATACTGAGGCCTGGGCATTTCAGCACTCAAAATTATGAAAAGTGAAAAAAAAAGTACAGGAGAATGCAGGTGAACACAAAGAAAGCAGTCTCCAAAGACTAAGGAAAATCATTTATCAAGGAGTGAGGAGTTAACAACTGTACCAAATGTTGCAAGCAAGATGAAGTTTAAGAATGTGTGTACAGCTGGGCAAGCAGCCACATGCCTGTAATCCCAGCAGCTTGGGAGGCTGAAACAGGAGGATTGTGAGTTCAAAGACAGCCTCTGCAATTGCGAGACACTAAGCAATTCAGTGAGACCCTGTCTCTCTTAAAAAAAATGAAAAAGAATCACAGGTCCTGGATGCAGCTTTGAGGAATAAGTGTATCTGAAAATTTTACATAACTGTCAGGGTTTTGAGACCTGGTGGGAACATCTCCTTGTCCCTGTGGACAAGTAGCTCTCTGATGTGCATGCAGCAGGAGCAGGACCTAAGGATTTCCTTCCAAAACGTAAGGCCTAGGACTAGGCTTCTACTGCACACACACTAGAAAAGCAGAGGAAGGAAATGAGAAAAGAGATTACACACACACACACACACACAAACACAGAACTAGGGATTGAACCTAAGGGTGAATAACCACTGAGCCACATTCCCAGACGCCCCCCTCCTTTTTAAATTTTGAGATAAGATCTCATTAAGTTTCTGAGGCTGGCTTTCAACTTTCCATCCTCTTGCCTCTGCATTCTGAGCTATGGGATTACAGGTGTGTGCCACGGCACGAGAAAGTACCATGTTTCCAAAGATTTCTATTTTTTTAAAGCAGCTGAATTTCATATAGAGGTAGTTACATGGTCAAAGTAAAGAATGTAGAATATAAAAGTTAAGACCATATCAAGAGTTATTCCAAAAACCAGCATGGTGTATGTTCAAACATCTCTCCAAAATTCACACGCATGCTCTCTCTCTCTCACTCACACACACACACACACACTCTTAATATTATATACTTGCTCACAAACTCAGTAACAACCCTTTTTACAACAAGATTATCCATCAATGCGTATTTTTGTTAAATATCTAACCATTTTCCCATGAGTTATTAACCTCAAATCCCCCAATCCCAGACCTCCAGAGGCCCTTCTCAGCAAATAAACATTTACCTCCAGTAGAAAATAGAAGAGCTCTTCTGCCCTCAGGCTCCGGGTTCCTGCCATTTCTCCCTTCAGGATCCTGCCCCCACTCCCAGACCTCTACTCTCATCTGGGTCATGTCCCCGACACTCCCCAACCCCTTATTCATGCCCTTCCTCTTTTCTGATCCTGGAAATCATCATCACTCCTTGCACTCAGCTGCCTCGTGTTAAATTGTGCCCCTTTTCTTACTCAAGTTGCAAATCACCTATACTAAGAAAGTATACAGTGCCTTAAGGAGGAACTTACCTGGCAGAACTCCATTTCTGGCAGTAGCAAAAAAAAAAAATGATTGCTAAAGCATATTTTATTCTTTCTTGCATCCAAACAGACAGCTAGCATGCTAATAACTTTCTTTAAAACAAGATTGAGGACGACAATAAAGAAACTCTACATTTTTAAGGTGAAACCAACAGCTTTATTAAGGTACTTCATTACATAAAAAGCTACTTAGGGAAACAATTGTCAACTCAGGGGCAAAGGCAGGCCCTTTTGAGGAAGAATGGGGCTTGAAATCAAGGGCAAACGGCAGGTAAGTGCTGAGCAGCAGGGTCATGGGGAGAGGATGCTTCAAAATTGCTCAGGATATTGATTAATAGCTAGAACTCTTGAAAAATCTCACAGGTATACAGGTATGCATAGAATAATCTATTCATGCAGCTGTTGGATGCTGATTCCTTCTGTGGGTCTTGGAGGACGCTCACAGAAGAGGTCACAGCACAAATGGTGTAGGGGCATGAGATGATCCCCCTACACCTGTTCTCCTCCCTGTTCCCCGGGAATTTCTGAGCTCCGGGCATCCAGCTCAGGCAGCAAGGCACGCCTAAGGCTGGAAGGGCTAGGAGTAGAGATAGAACCCAAGCCATAGCACGGAGAAGAGGATGAGGAACCCTGGCCAGGAAACTTGGTGGGAGATGAAGAGGGGCTTAAGCCAGGAGATCTAGTTGGGGAGGAAGAAGGGGAAGAGGACAAGGAGGATGAGGAGGACGAGGAGGACGAGGAGGACGAGGAGGACGAGGAGGACGAGGAGGACGAGGAGGAGGACGAAGATGAGGTGGAGGTAGAGATGCTCTCACTGCGCTGCCTATGCAAAGGAAAGAACCTACCAGGGGGTGAAGGAGAGGAAGCACGCATACGGACTGCATGCCAGACAGACTGAGAAGGCGGGCTTCCAACCTCACTTTCAGAAGAACTTGAGCTACTCTGAAAGACATGCTGTAAGGGTGCCCTAGAGGAAGGAGGAGGTCTCCTGACACCTGGGTTACGCAGAGAGCCTCGAATGGGAATGGCCGACCTTCCAGATGACCTCTGCAGGGTGGGGCGTCTCCTCCAGGGACCAAGGCCTGTGGTTGAGGTCGTGCTGCTAGGAGTAGGGCCGGACTTTGTTGCAGGTCTTCTGAGGGTGGTGTCTGGCCGGGATGCACTGGTGCGAACAGGAACTGATGAAGTGCTGCCACTGTGAAGATCAGCACCTGGTCGGGTGGCACGGCTCCTGGGATTAGTGGCTGGTGCAGATACTGGACGTCGAAGAGCAGGACATGGCCGGGTGACATGGCTGCGGAGATCAGACCCACGCTGAGAGGCACCATTCTGGGGAACAGGGCGGGGCCTGGATGAACCACTGCGGAGAACAGGACCTGGTGCAGTGGAGCGACGGCGGAGACCAAGGCCTGGTGCAGATGCATGGCGTTGATCAGGGCTGGGCCTGGATGCACCACTGCGAAGAACTGGGCCTGGTGGGCTGGCACGGCGTCGAAGAGCAGGCCTAGGCCTGGATGCACTGCTACGCAGAACAGGGCCTGGTGGTGTGGCACGACTGCGGTGAGCAGGACCTGGTGTAGATGCATGGCTTTGGGTGCCATGGCCTGGAACGGTGGTGCCACTGCAGAGGGCAGAGTCTGCCCTGAGGGCTTGGCTGCGGAGAGCAGGTTCTGGACCGGTTGCATGATTCCATGTAGAGGCTTGAGAACGACGGCGGCGGCGGCAGCGGGGCTGAGAAGATGGCGGAGGAGGCACAGACGCCTGCGCAGAAGCCCCAGGAAGCAGGTGGCGCCCTGTAGGCTTTTCAGCCTGGTCTCGGCTGGGCTGGCTGAGCTGCTTCTTACGACGTTTGTTCTCAGGGCTCTTTTTCTGGGCCTGGGGTTGCTCCTGGCCACTGGTCTCAGGTTCCTCACGTCTAAGGCTTGCCTGGGAACCACGGCTGTCCTGGAGGTCAACACGGCGTTTTGCTGACATACTGTCCATGGAGGGCAGCACAGGGTCTTCACAGGCAGTGGAAACGACGGCAGAGGTAGCAGAACCTGCTGTGCTGCTTTGATCAGTGTCTCCAAACACAGCCTCATGGCTTGGGGCTGTGGGGACCAAAGCAACAGGATCTTGATATACCCTTCCAAAGACATGGCCAGGGGCTAGGGTGGCCTCATTCTTCTGCCCTCTGGGTACCTCACCCTGCTGGGGCTTCTGCTGCTTCTCTCGAGGTGCCTGAGTAGCCATGCTATAGGATTCCAGCTCTGACCCAAGTGAAGGCTCCGAGACAAAACTCCCGGTGGCAAGTAATGCCTTGGGCTGGGTCCAGTCAGAGCTGGTAAAGAAGGATGGGTGGGGCCAACTGATCTTCACCTCTGATTGGCGAGCTGGATATCACGTGATGCTTCCCACCATCCTGTAGCTGTAGCCTAGCAGCCCAACGTAGACCTTTCTGGCGCCAGCCAGGAGGGTGTATCCACCCCTCCCTTCAGCCTTAGAGCTATAGGAGGCGTTTCCCCGCCTTTGGATTCTTGTGCTCCCCCCACCACCACCCATTTTGTCCTCTGGGGTCAATAGTGTGAATTTCTCTAGTCTCAAACCTGGCCCCTAACACAGTATGGTTCAGGGAAAGGGTTTGGGGTGTGGAGTCTGTGTGAACCATTTGAGGTACCACAAATCATCTTGTTAGTACCACTCCCCTCTCAAAACCTCAAAAGATCAAACTCTTGAAAGATACCAACCTGGCTGACAGGCTGTATCCCTAAGCTAGGGTGGGACCCCATAGAGGATTGTTCAAGAACCCCTTCAGGCATCTGGATAACCCCAGACTGGATCTGGTGTATTTTAAGTTTGGTGAGAGGCCTGAAGGCAAGAAAAGAGATGGGGTCCACAGTGTCTTGGCTTGAGCTGTTCTGCCTACCTCAAACAGCAGACAGAGATTTAGAGTGTTCCTTTAAACTGCTTCTCCCTACCTTTTGCCCTGAGGCCAAGGTTTCCTAGGATTAAGGCTGATACCTTTCTCAACATTCATCAGCATTTTTAAGGGCTGCATAGGAATCCACTGATAAATGCACGTTCATTTATTTGGACTAGACTCTAGTTTCTTTTAAATTCGCTGTGATGTACAGACTTGAAGTTTCATATTTGGACCCTCATTCTTAGTCACTATTTCAAAAGGTCGGCTTCTTTAAGTGCCCAAAACAGAAAAACAAATATGAGAAAAGCACCACTGAAATTCTCAAAACGCCCACAGGCAAATACTGGACATACTTCTTTATATCTCGGTAAAATGGCCACTCGCACGTTTCATAGTTTATGAAAATTGAACTATTTATGATTACATGTTGTTTTATTAACCTATTTTGGGGGTCCAGAAAACACTCTCCCATATCACTGAATAAATTTCCACAAGGCCATTTTAACTAAAACATATACCTATTGAGGAGGAAGATTATATTTTCAAATACTCCTGTGTCAACCAACATTTATGTTTCCCAAATTTTTACATCAATGTGAGCCACATCCTTCTCACTAAAAACTATTCTTATCCTCAGTTTTGTCCTTGTTGCAAAGTCCCAGAAAAAGAAATTCACGGTACAGTCTATGCACACCTGTAATTCTTTGATAAAAATACTGGCAAACTGTTCTGAAAGTTGCTGTTATAACAATTTTAGCAGGATAGAACAGGATATTTATGAGAATGAAGAGCAACTGGACTTCAACACAACTCAAAAATAGAATTCAATGATATGTGGAGTGTTAATGTGGAATGGAAAATGGATTTGAAATGGAATGCAGCAGGGGATGAACTGGAGACTGGAGTGAAACTGGGAATGGAATACAGACATGAACAGGATGTGGAATGGAAAATTGAAGAGACTGGACATAGAATAGAATATGATAGAATGAGAAAATGGAATGAAATAAAATGGAAATAAGATGTCACGAAATAAAATGTGTTATATGAGAAAGGGGATGAAACAGTATAGTGTTAAATAAAATATGAAAGAAAATAGAAAATAATCAAAATAGTAAGGAAAATAAAAAGGAACAGAATGTGCAATTGCCTGAAATCAATGCCTGTGAAATATGTCCTGTAGATTTTAAAATATCAGAAAAGAATAGAATGAAATATAGAATCCAAATTTATGAAGGATGAATTAGGAATTAAATAATAATGGAAGATGGAAAATGAAGGACTGATGAAATACAAGATGGAATTAAATGAACAGTAAATAAATAGAATGTGTTCTGTTCATGTACCATTCCATAATTTTAGTGTCATAGAACAATGTCCACTTTATTTCATATCATTTTGTAGAGATAGAATTCAAACAGTACGTGATGGTGATGGCTTGTGTATGCTACACAATGTCTGGGACATGAACTGGGGAACTTGATTGGTTTTAAGGTTATGGGGGAAGGACAGCAGTAAGTGATGGCTCCTGCATTTTGGTGGATGGTGGTGACAATGAAAGAGGGAAATCTTGCCCAGTGGAGGAGATCAAGGAGATAGTGTGAATCCATAATTCTCTTATGACCACGTTGACACCTATGACCCTGTATGGGCATCCTAGTCATTTAAAGGTATAAGCCCCAATTCATCTCATAGCTATTCTCATAGCTCTATAAGTTAACTTTCAGTAGTTTCATGAATCCAGTTTTCCTCTAGGGAGTCATTTCATTTTATGGTCTAATACTTTTCTTCCTTTTTTAGAATTTCTGTGGACCTTAGCCATTACTCTGACTTAATAATAACTAAAATGACTCTCCTGTATATTCGTCCACCTATGAGATCTCTAAGATCTAAAAGTTTATTCTAAAGAAACTTCCTCTCTTTAATTTCATTTGTGTCTTCAGTATCCTGTTCTTTATCATTTTCTGACTTCCATTTAAAGTATTTATGTATGTGCTTATACAAAAGAAGTGGGAAGAGTGATTTTTTTATTCTCTCATATATTATCTTCTGAATTTTTCCAATGAGCCTATATCATTCTTGTACTAAATAAATACCTACTTGCATTTTTAAAAATAATTACCTTACATGAAAATAAAACAAACTTAAAGAGGTTTAATTAGGTTTTAAGCTTTTTTTAAGAAAATAGGCTCTCTTATATTATTGGATGGGATTATAAATTTGTAGCACCTTCCCAGATGAAAATTTAATGATATGAAGATACATTAAAAAAAATTCTTGCCCGGCATGGCGGCACATGATTGTAATCCCTATTATGTTTTCCATAATGGCTGTACTAATTTATGTTCCCACCAAATGTGTAATAATGTTTCCCTTTCTCTGCATCCTCACCAGTATTTTCTTTTGTCTTTTTGATGATGGTCATTCTAACTGAAGTGAGATGATATCTTATCATACTTTTCATTTGCATTTCACTGATGATTAGTGATACTGGACATTTTTCATAGAACTTTTAGCCATTTTCATGTTTTCTTTTGATAAATGTTCAATCCCTATCAAAATATCAATGGCAATATTCACAAAATAGAAAAAAATCCTAAAATTCCTCTGAAACAACAACAACAAAAAAACAACTTCCACATACAAAACCGCCCTATAAATAGCCAAAGAAATCCTGAGCAAAAGACCAAAGCTAGAGGTATCATTTAACCTAAAGTCAAAATACACTACAAAGCTACATTAATCAAAATAGCATAGATACTGACATAAAAAACAGACCTATAAACCAATGGAAAACAGCGGAGGAGCCAGAAAAAAAAATCCAGGTATTTATAGCAAACCGATTTTCAACAAAGGTGCCAAAAACACATATTGGGGAAAGGACAGTTTCTTCACCAAATGGTCCTGGGAATGATGAATACCTGTATGCATAACAATGACACTCGACCTTTTTGCCATATTGAAAATCAACTAAAATGGATTTAAGACTGAAATGCAAGGCCAGAAAGTATGAAAGTACTAGAAGAAAGCATAGTGGAAATGCTTTGGAATGTTGATCTGGGCAGATATATTTTGGGGAATGACCCCAAAAGCATGGGAAATGGAAGCAAAAATAGACCAATGGGGTTGTATCAAACTCAAAAGCTTTTCTCCACAACAAAGGGAAAAATCAAGAGAATTAAGAGACAAACTGCAGAATGAGAGAAAATATTTGCAAACTTCATCCAACAAGGAATTAACAACCAGGATCTACAAGGAACTCAAACAACAACATTCAAAAAACAACAAAACCCACTCAAATTATCTGATTAAACATGGACAAAAGATGTGTAGAATGCCATTTCTTTTTTAAAAAATCTGAAACAACCTCAATTTCCAACAGTATATCAGATGCCCACAGAACAAATTTATGTAACTTTAAAAAAATTTTTTTTTAGTTGTTGATGGGCCTTTATTTATTTCTCTATATGTGGTGCTGAGTATCGAACCCAGTGCCTCACACATGCAAGGCAAGCATTCCACCACTAAGATACAACCCCAGCCCAAATTTATGTACTTTTACAGGATGTTTTTGAAAAACTTTTAATGCTATGGGAAAGTGGTTATAATATTGTACAACACACACACACACACACACACACACACACACCATGTACCCTATTTTCTACTGATCTATACTTACATGTATCTATTTTATATTTACCTTTTTATATACATTTAAATTTCATCCACTATAGTGCTGTTGTTCTCAATAGGGGGCTCATTTTGCCCCTTGGAATATTTAGAAGTGTCTGCAGAATGACAGTTGGGGACAGTGCAGTGCTATTTGCATCTGGCTGTGGATCAGGGATGCTGCTTTACACCTTCAATGCACAGGAAAGTCTCCACTAATACAAAATTATCTGGCCTCAAATGCCAATAGTGTCAACTTTGACAAATATTGCAGTAGAGAATTTAGATAATTCAGAAAAGCTTAAGAAAATTTAAGTTGGGACAATTCTACCAGTAATTAAAAACTATCATTAAAAATTTGACAGATTTACATATTCATTTTTCTGTGATCATTTGACACTTCTTTATTGGCACATGGGGTACTTTGGAAATAAACAAATTCATTTTGGGGGGGGGCTGCAGATTGAACCCAGGTCTTTGTGCATGCTAAGCAGGTATTCTAACACTGAGCATATTTTTAAAGACTTCTTTCTTCCTCAACAAGCTCTAAATATTTTTCTCATATTAAGCACTCTAGTAGTTGCTTAAGAAGTTACACAACTTTAGAACTGTAATGTTAACTCATTCCACAAATATCAATCCATCAACATTATCTCTT